CATCTGGCTTGGTCTCCTGAGGCATGAAGGCTCTCCTAAAAAAGGACGTGTCCGCATGGTAGCTTACATTTTCCATTAAAGTACATTCAAAACGTGAGATCTTGTCTTGTGAAAGGAAAGGTGGACCTCCACAGGCGTCTCCACCATACTACTGCCATCGGTCTCCTGTGCGCATGGGGCCAACAAAAAACTGCCTGTGCGCATCGTAGCTTACAATTTTCAAACCACCAAACTTATATATATGAGATCTGGCCTGGTCCTTGCGATTCTGCTCCGTGGCAGCGGTGTTTTTCTCCACATGCTTGCGTTCAAACTCCTTCCACTCATCCTTGCTTGGTGGCATTGGCAAGTTGTTCTTGGTAGCAAACGATGTAGCATCTTTGAAGCTGCGAAGGGTCTTCTTGTGAGGTTCTGGTGCGTACCAGTAGCCTTGCGAGTGGAGATGTTTTGGAAGCACCAAAACCAAAACCATGTATCCTTGTCTTTCCTAGTCAAGAAACAATCCATTTGCCCCATGGTGCTACCCGTTGTTCGCATCCGGAACTCAAGTCTCCATCCATTCATTGTGAACGCCATGGCGTAGTGGGCACGATGATCGGTAACGTGCAACCAGTCGTGAAACCCTGCACAACTGCCTATACCAAAAGCTACCATAGTAAATGTAACTTACAATTAAGAAGGTGCTGATTTAGGTGGGCACATGCATGGTCAACACACACATAGCATGGAACTTGTCCAGTTTGTCCAGAAGAGACAACTAAAATCAAACATGACATTTACCTGAAAGGGTTGCGCAATGCAGTGGGTTAGCAAAGAAAACATGACTGAATACTGAATACGATTGAATATGCCACACGTCGCAACCTGATTTTGTCGGCCCTCTCCGGCGTCGACGTTTCTTGCCTGAGGCACAACAGCAGGCTACAAGCTTCTAGAAGCGTCACCTTTACACAACCCTTTGCTGTCAATGGACAGCTCTGCGCAAATCCCCTCAGCTCTCCCAGTTGCACCACATCAGGCCAACCTTTGATGGCCTTGAGCCATGCACCAAGCATGGTACAATGCGGTGCAAAAGCGTTGTGGATAGGCAGCGGTGGATTGGAGGTCTCTTCCGCCACTAAAAGTTTTGCGGCCTGAGCTGGACTGGCCTACAGAGTAATACTCTTTTGCGGCTTTGCCACTTTTGAGAGCCCTCTGCTTCTTACGCGCAATTCTGGCATCAAACTTTGCCTTTATGGTCTTTGTCGCTTTGCGAGCCAGGTGCTGCCTTGCTTTCCTGGAAATTGTCTGCGATCGATTGCACTCATATGCTTCCCCCAAAAAAAGACCAAACAAATCCCAAAAAATAGATCTCCCTTGAAATGTCTTGAACATCAAAAACACAGATTGCTTGAGTTGTGCGAGAATCAGCGGCAAGTTGTTGCAAAGGTGTGTCCCTTTCAATAGGTCCAGTCCCCAAAGACCCATGTAGGTCAATGTGACTTGAAACTGGAAGTCTTCGATGATTCGCTTCCACCAACATGCCTTAAACATCCAGCTTCCTTTCGGTTGTTCTGAGACGATCAGCACGCTTGGTCTCCAGCGAGATACCAATTGGATCAGCACGGCGGTGTTTTCTGAAATCACATTCGACATTCGGACCTTGAAGTTCTTGCTGTTTCCAAGCAGGTTCCATTCCTGACATTTTTTTGGTGTATGTTTTTTTTGCCATTTGGTGAGAAACCATAGAAAAAACATAGAAAGCTATAGAAAACTAAAAAAAAGTGTTGTCTAAAAGGTCTCGAGACACGTATCTGCGGTGCACCGATTGTGATATCGGAACCCACAAACTGCAGGGAGGGGCTGCTAGAAGCAGCCCACTGGAAACAAGCCTTGTTCGCATGAACAAAGCTGACTTCTTAGAAACTTTTTCAAGCAGAATCATAGGGGAAGCCTCTGACAACGAAAACATGTTTAACAATCTGTCCAGAAACGAAAGTGCCAGCACCAATGCCCGATAGAATCCGCAAGGTGATAAGATGTCTTCATTTTTGTCATTCATGATGTCGAACGAGCATGCTGAGTGACCATAGCGCTGAAAGGTACGCGCGACCCGTTTGCTAGCACTAAATAGATCAACGCATTTCATGTGGCAGGGGCCATTCCAACGCTCGCAGAAGGAACTCAGCTCGTCCATGTTCTCGCAAGCCCTGAACCATTGCCCTTCGGGTGTGCTGGTGCTCATGTCGTCATGTCGCGCACCATGCCCGACCACCAGCAGCACCCAAAAAAGCAAAGTCTGCATCACCGAACACGAACGCTGCCCGATCTATCCTATCCTTGTGGTCCCTCGGGCCGCGTCTGCTGTCGTGGTTCTGGTTACCTAACAAAAAGGGGGGGGGGGGCAAAAAAAGGTAGGTTACATTTCCCCCCCCCCCGCCCCAACAAAGTCGGAAACGGATCAGTGTGGCATGGACTCTGTATTTCATTGTATTCCCCAGGAATAACCGAGGAATGATTTATTCAAATTAGGGGGGGGGGTCACATCCATATGCTGTCTTGTGTACCTACAGTCTTAAATCTTACTTTTAATCTACCCCCCCCCTCCCCCCAAACAAATGTAAGTTACATTTTTGGAGGTCCCCCTCCAAAATCAATGGTTAAAGGGGTAGGGATGATATGCGGTATACTAACTAATAACTAACTAACTAACTAACTAATGTTAGTATCAGTATATCAGTCTAACTATGTCCAACTAACAGAATTGGATGTATCTCTCGATCTGGAGAGGCACAGTGGAAAACAAAAGAATGTGGCAAGAATAGAACATATATAATAGAACGACACCCGCTGGGGCGCCCTCTCTTTTCCAAATCAGCTCATTTGATCCGGCTACCTGGGTAATGCCCAACAACATCCGCCCAAATCAACCAAAGCCAAATCATACCCTTCCCCAATCTGCAGCTTAAACATTCTGAAACCAATAAACACATCCCCCAAACTTTCTGGAAGCCAGGTCCAACCTCCACATCACCGCCCGCAAGCGGCCCCATGCCCCCAAGCGCTTCATCTCGGCGCTCTCGGCTTTTTTTTGGATGACGGAATCAGTTGGCGCCACGCAGCGCAGTGGACTCCAACTGACGGATGGTGCCAGAGACGGTGGACAAGGACTGCTGCAACTGGGACACCTCCTGAGCGGAGCACTGCGGAGGTGTCCCTAAGAGCGGAGCACCGGGGCTTCTTCGAACCACCGGGTACAAGACATTCCGCTGGGACCGAAGGTTGGACCGAAAGAAATTGCATTCCGCTTCGTCCCATTCCTACGAATTGCTTCGTCTTTTGTAAGATTTGACTTCTGGGTGCAGTTCTCACATAGGACCGCTGCCCCGACGCAAGGTTGGACGTCATATTCCAACACGTGGTGCAAAAGGGAACGATGGGTTCTGCAACCCACGTCATCACCTGTCCCCAACAAGCAGCCATATGCGACCATTTGCTCTATGCATCAAAACACTCCCATTTGACTGACCCAACACAGGTGTTGCCACGATGAGAATCGGTCATCGAGCATGGGCAAAGATTGGTCCTAACACCTGTAGATCTTGAGACTTCCGGCTTTTGATACATGCAGTTCAAACCCTCAATGCCAGCTGTTCCGTTTTCCAACCCTTAACTGTTGGGTCCTGTGCCAACGCTGCTCCAGTGGCAGGCTCCTCCTTAGGTGCAAAGAACTCTAAAGCAATGACTGTTGCACCAGGACTGACCAAAGAAAACCGCCAAAAGCCTCCGACTTCAATGAGATCACTGTCTGCCTTGACTTGTCAAATTCATTTTGCCCCTTTCAGGTGTCATTGGCCAAAATGGTGTAATTTAGATAACGAGACCGCATCCATTTGGACAAGCCACTTGGAGCGGGAGGCACCGTTGGCAGTGCACTGCAGTGTCCTCTCAACATCACTGGAAGAAGAGCCATGTTTGGAGCAGTCACTTGGGTTTGTGAGCTGGGCTGCGAACATCAAAGGAAGCAAGAACAAAACATGATGAGGGAATATATATGTATAGTGTGCTCATGTTATCCCACCAGAAAGTTGTGCACGTGTATAAATACATGTGCACCTGCTGGTAGGCAATGGAACAAGTATATGTATAGTAATATGTATATAATATATGAGGTGCATATATCTATATGGGCGCTGCGCGTTTTCCGGGCCCCAAGCACAGTAGTATGTCAAAGTATGTCAAGAGCTTATGTGTATATATGTTTATATAGTTTGTGAGTATATATCCTCTATTGTCGTATTTATCGAAAATTAACATATATATATAATATGTATTTTTTGATTGCATGGAAATTTGTCTAGGCAATTCCAGGTATCTAACTACTTCATTGTTTTGTAGTGCAAACTTACTAAAGATATTTGCATCTTTTAATCATGTCACGTTTTATCTTTAAAAAATGCCGGGTTTCCTCAAAAGTATATACAGCCTTCCTCTGAATGAAGGGGACATATGTTTCTGTAATATGTCGCATGATTTTAGCTCTTGTTTTCATTATGTAAATACTAAACGCAACGATGAAGTCCTCTCTGCTTGCAAAACGCACCGAACCCATATATATATATATCCTATTCCCTGTAACTGTGGATGACGATGGTTAGCAATTCTTTCTCTAAAGTAGTACCAACTGTTACACGTAATAAGGCAAACAAACAAATGTATATACATATGTGTATATATATATATATACATGCTGGCCTACACGCGCCCGCCTACTTAATACTCAAAAATGCTCCCACAATGTCCCGCCACAAATAAACTCTAGTGCACTCAGGGGGGACTCATCCTTGTAGATCAAGCATCGCTCCTAATCGACATGACTTACAGTAGTACTTAGACTTAGGACCATTTTTTTTGGATGTGATTTTGCTAATCCCACATGCCGGTCAGGCCAGTCGAGTAAGTTTGGGGTTACATTGCCAATACAAAAATTCAATCTGCGACTTCCATCGCGAGATTGTCAGCCGACTGAAATTGGTTTTAAAAGCCAATGCTGAGCTGAACTGGTTTGACATGAAAACAACTTCTCTATTGAACAATGGTCAAAACTATTGAAAACTCAAAACGACGTTGGATGTGTACTGTATATATATATATATATGCGTGTGTGTGTGTGTGTGTGTGTGATTGTGTGTGTTGTGGTGCAGGCTACGGGGAAAGGAGCAAGTTTCCCAAGGTTAGTGTCTAAACCCCACTTTGTGGAGGTTTAGGGGCATGAAACGAATGATAATGAACCAAAGCGACTACAATTCCGCATGACCGCCTCAGTGACAGCACCTTTCAACATAGCGATGTGTTCAACAGAGCGCATCGGGCATCAACCATGCGAAACATGCATGTCTTTATCAATAGGTCGTTCCTGCAGCTCATTCCGGTTAAAGGCGCCCTTTTCATAGCGATGCTCTTGCAGCTCCTTAGGGCTTCAGGAAGCTTCAGGCACCGTCTGGACCGGAGGGCCTAGATGGGCCTAGTGCCCCTGTCAGACACGATGCTCTTCGACAAAGTGACTCTCAGGGAACTCCGGAGAACCGGGAGTTACCCCGAGGGTTACCCCGGACTTCTTTCCTCGCAGAAAAGTCAGACCACTTCAGAAGCACCTCCCCATCTCGAAGATTGTCCAACGGTCTCAAATGTGTAAGCTATTTGATTTGATGCGTGTCTCGAAAATTTCTGTTTGATTGGACTAATTATGTGCAGGGTTGCTGTAACTACGGCCCTTGGCATGCTCTTGGCATCTTTGTCGGCCATCTTCAACCCAGAAAGCTTTCAAACGCATATCAATCAATCATTCCCCAGCTACAGGAGCTCATTGCCAATGGCCAATTCCTCTTCATTCAATATCCTACATCATCCTACTCTTTCCAAGGCCGTGCGATGGTGCCAGGCCGTCGTGCCAGGCCGCTGACGTGCCACCTTCGCAGAAGAAGCCCACTTCAAAGGTCTCAAAGTTGGAGACCTCGGCACCTGACAGGACCGAAGAGCTCGACCAAAATCCGGCCAGATTGCTTTACGCGGCCGGTTGTCATGAGTGTTTCATGCGGAACTGGTGCGAGTTTCAATCGTTTGATGGCAGTGGACATCAGTAGACCGAATTTTGTTCGAAGGAGGAGGAGGAGGAGGTGCGCTGTTTTGACGGTGTTACCAGTGTTGGGGTTCGGCATCCCCAGCCATTTCAAACAGCCAACTCCATGAAAATCAATCTTCCAATCTAAGTGGTTGCCAGATGTAGTGGGACCCCATGTCCAGTGAACCTCCCAGGACCAGGTGATTGCTTTGTCATGGTAGAAGGGGCATCCAGGGCGGTAGGGGTGCTTCATGGTTTGCAATCAAATCACTTCCCTCAGCTTCTTGCAACGAATCCATCATGATTTATCATGAGTTCAGCCCCCCCAGGTTGTCCTGGTTTTGTGTCCGGTATCCAAACACATCAAACCCATTCAATTCCCATCAGCTTTAGCCTGCTTTACGCTGCTTTAGCTGAGGAGCACTCGGTGCGCAAGAAGCAGCTCCCACTGGTGGGATCCCTCCAGGTGCTCACACAGTTCTCAGGGCCGAAGTGGCTGATCAAATGGCTCATGCCCAGGCCCGGCGCGACCTGGCAAGGAAGGATGCGAGACCCTGGAAGCGACACCTTGTTGCACCATTCGCGGTCGCAAAGGGTTAGGTCATTTAGAGTCATGTTCACGCCCTGCATGCTGACTGATCTTCCGTGTTGTATGCTTTGGTCAATATTATATAGAGGAGCAATCCAATTGGAGGCCAACAGCAGCCTGGTCCTAAGGTCTAACAAGCACAAGATTAAGGCTAGGCTTGAAGCTCTTCTCCCCGAGGTTTGCAAAGCCAAATGAGCTGTGTCGAAAACCTATTGGAACTTGCTGTTGTTTGATTCTAGCATTCTTGCGCAAACAGGCTATCGCGGCCCTTTTGCGACCACAGTTTTGCCTTCCCGCGGTCATACACTACTCGCTCAGCCAAAAGGGGAACCTTTCGCGAAAGAAGTTAAAGGCGACTGCGGACACATTGTCATCCAAAATGTCCTTTCTTGTGATGTGTTTCGCAATAGCTTTCTTGAAGCTTTCGCGACTCGAGTTTTGCCTTTCGCGGGCCTCTATACCCCGGGGAGGTCTCAACACAGGTCGCGACCGTGTTACAACCGCTCGTTTACCAGAAAACGCCTGAAATCGGCCGATCGCCTCCGCCAACAAGACAACCCCAATGGGCCGATACCTCGGCTCGTTCCCACCTGGTCCGAGACCTTGATCACAGCCTGCCGGGCCTCTTGAGCCTCAGCGGACTGCCAGGTGAGCTGTTCCTTGTTGCTCGGCCCCCTACTCGCTTGAAGCAAAATATGCTATGCCTGTCCGAAGGTCCTAGACTACCTATGCCAGTCGCCTGAGACAGGCGAAGCAACAAACAAAACAACCTTGAGATACCTTGAGAAAGACTACAGTACAAACTAGTACAAGGGCTAGACATGCCGGATGTTGCCCAACATGTACGGTATTGGTATTGGTGCACTTCGAAATAGTGGCACCAGCATTGATTTCCCACTCAGAATTCAAATATTGATAACAATTGAAACTCACCCCTGGTGGCCAACCCAGGTGCTTGCTACGCGTGCATACGATTGCATAAGTACTTTTGCAATAATTATGAAGGCGTTTAAACTATTTGTTCACCTATCTTTAAGTCTTGAACCTCTTGTTGCGACCTTCCCCCAGCTGCGCTAGCCATCTGCCATGCGACCTTCCCTCTCAGCTCCTGTGTCACACGTGCTTTCTGCGCCACCGACTGTTCCGCTGCACGCACCCCAGCGTTGGCGGTGTCAATGTCCTCCCCCACCAACTGACGTCAATCGCACAATGACACCGAACTAGCAGGGGAAATACGGTTAGGCCAATAGGATCCAATGGGCGATGCGTTGAACATAGAAACCTAGACATGTTCTAACGGCAACATACTGAGCACCAGTCGCGACTTTGGGAGGTTGGCCTGCTGGGGGTGGCACACGTGTTCTCAAAGCACCCACATCCCAGTCCATCACATGACAAGGGCTGTGTTTGTGGCCCATGGATGAGCAGGGTGCATAACGCACCATCTTTGATGTGTTCAAGAACAACCACCGCACTGCGTAGCTCCTGGCCTTACTACTAACAAGGACGCTACTAGCAAAGGGCATCGCTACTAGGAACGATCTTCGTGCACCTCTTGGGAGCTTCGCTTCTGCCGCGCTTGGGCGCGCCAAAGCCAGGCCCGAGAGCGCGCCTCCTATGTCAGTCATCGAGGTCTCCAATGACATACCGGTGTGGTGCATGGAGCTCATGATACCTGCCATACCTTACGCATAAGTGGAATGTCCAAGTCAACTCTGGATGACCTATATACTTGCCCAAAGGTGTGCTGCGATTCAAAAAAGATTCCGAAATTGCAAGTTGTTCGGTGAATTTTGTGTATTTACAAGAAGGCGACCTGAATCTTTCCCTCGGTTCACATCACCGCGAACCATATGACACCGCTTCTTCCCTGGGGTAGCAGCTCTGGGGCAAGTAGCAGATTTTGAGCCGAGCGCCTGGGCCTCGGCTTCCAGGACCTCCGCCTCTGCAGAAGTGGCCACCTCCTCAGGGTGTTGACAGGGCCGCCGGGGCACCTGCTACAACATGTGTAATTGTCCATGATACGCCTGTGGAGGTGCCCAAAATAGATGCAATGATACACATGTTGAGAGTGCAGCCCCACCATGTTTCAAGCATGTCCAGCCCAGCTCATTAGTTGAGCATCAGAAAATGGCCCCTCTTCAAACAAATCCACAAGCCTCCTTTCCAACCTCCCCACCCCGTGCACAAAAAAAAAACTCAATCCACAATCCTAGCATCTAACATGGAGCAAGCCCAAGCCTTGGCATAACGAACTAGACAATGCCCCCCCACAACGGCAACCAGGGTGATCACACGCCAAGCACCTGTTCGGGAACTTTCCGACATTTCTGGGAGACCCCATTCAACCTCCCTTGATCTCCACTATTTGGAGATCGGTTGAATGGAGTCTCCCAGTCTTCCCTCAAAAAGGCGAAGCTTGGCAAAATGGGTGGGGGAATCGTGGAGCCCATTCCCATTCCTCCCAAAATTCACCCTCTCCGTGTCCCACAATAGCCAACTATACATGTTTGTCTCGCGTCCTCTGCAGCCTCACTCTGGGCCAAGAAGGCGATGGCATCGAACTGGCTCGGAAGACGATCAGCCACTCTTGGGCCTCGGATCGTCAGCAACGAGGTCTAACACATCCCCAACTACTCCACCTGGCTCCAGTCTCCAACCATCAATGCTAAGCTGCCGGTTGAGGTGGAGACCATGGTTGGAGGTGCTGCAACACCTCCTGAGCACTGCATAGAAGAAAGGACATTAGGAGGTGTTGCTGTGCTTGATGGAGTCTAGATGAGTCTAGTCTAGATGAGGAACAATACGTGGAGGCTCTGCATTCATGTTGTCTGTCTTAAACAGATGGCTTGCGAATTTACCCGGCGTGCTTGGTGCTGCAAGCAGTGCAAATCAGCGCATGTCAGTGAGATGTCATGTGCGGTGTGCCTCCCCCCCGCACTACCGTGCACACAACTAGCATCAACTAGCCAATGTCCCAGAGTGACTTCCCAAGCGCCAAAAAATCATTTTTGGAACGCACGCTTTCTCAGTCATGTCCATTCCTGTCGTTTAGTTGCTGTCATGTCCTTTCAGCTTTGCTCCTTGCAATTCCTTTCATGTGCTTCATTTCCCGCGTCCTTTTCCTCCTTCTCCTCCCTCCATGGAGGCGGGGGAAGTGCTTTGTTGGTGTCGTGGGAGGGGGATGAAGCCGGTGGAACAGGGAGGCTTCAAATAGTGAGCGAGCGCTCATGTGCGGCCTGCATGTTCACCAAAACAGTATCAAAATGTATACAGGGAAGCCGAAGTACTTGTCCATTAGCATTCGTTCAGTTTCATTCCCTCCTACTTTCCTTTCCCTCCTATATCAAGCTTCTGGAGAGCTTCGCTGGCTAGAAGATCGTGCTTGGTAACGGCCGTACGTATTAAGCGAGGCCACAGGTCCATGTGGACGTATACTGCAAGCACAGGCACCTATCACCTATACTCATTGTACTTCAAGTATGGTTCACAAAGCGAGGCAAGGATCAGGTTTCTGCGGCCTCCATCCTGCCCGGGTCCGAAAACCCTACTTGTGCCCCCAAATGGTCTTTATAACAATGATTGCACCATATCATGTATATCATTTGGCTGCTGACTCACCAAGTCAATCTGGTGAAAATCAGCTTCTGGTATCCTAAGCTCTGCTGATCTTTAGGACTGAGCTTCACCAACCAATGCCTTTGGTCGTCTCTTGTTGCTGCATCCAAGGCTCTGCCGGTTGCACCTGTGGCGTTGCCAGCCTTCCAGGTCGAGTTCGCCTTGGAATCCATGGCGCCCTACAGGGGCTGATGACAATGACCCACGAGCGGTATAGAGGGTAGGAACCATAAACTGGCATGCACGGAGACACAGAACAAGGCAACTGTGCAAAAAGGACCTGGGTTCTAAATGCTGCGGCCTGCTGCACGCTGCACTTTGTTTTGAAGCTTGAGCGTTGGTGGCTTCCAACCCTCAAGCATCCTCAATCCAACTCGCCCAGAGCACAGGCCTCCGAATTCTGTGTTCTGGGTGGACTGGTGTTGTGGCCGCAGATATCACAGCGCCAACGGCACTCAGTAACACCCTCCCGCAATGCCCACTTTAGAGGCTCTAGAGATCAGGGGGTCACCCTTTGGAATGTCAGTGGCACTCAGCGTTTGATGAATCCGTCTACAGTCTTATGGGCCTCGACTCTCCTCACAATCCCTCACCACATTTGTCGTTACTTGGACGGGAGGCTGACGCGAGGGAGACCTTCGGCGGTTGGACCGAAACCGGTGTCTCCAGCGGTTCGACCTCCGCATCCGAGTCATCGTCATCGTCATCGTCTCCTGGGGAAACGCTGGAAACACTGGCTCATGAAGCAGGGTGCAGGTTGAGAAGCGACAACGAACAAGCAAATATGTTTACCTTTGCATATGTGTTTCCGACGAAAGTCATACTTGTTGTTGCCTACAGTTTATACTTTAGCAAGACCCCCGCGATAGTTTTACTTGACTTTGCACATGCCTTTACTTAAGCAGGACCCCAGCAAAGTTATCCAAGCAAGATCCCAGCACCAAAGCAACTCACCAGAGCAAGATCCCAGCACCAAAGCAATGCTAGCGTAGCAGCAGCTTTACACAACCATACCTGCGAGCTGCAGATGTACTTGTAGCATACCGCATACCTATTGTAACATACATACAACTGCAGCTATAAGTTGCAAATGTATTGCCACCTCCGTAGCAGCAGGTCTAGAAGACCACACATGCAAGCTGCAGATGTACTTATAGCATACACGCAAACTGCTGCTATATAAGTCCCAGATGTATTGATACAAATGTTTTGTGCAAAAGATGTCTACAGAAACCCCTCGCAAACGCTCCCGGGAATAAACCTATCAAGAACCAAATGAGGAAAACAAATTGACATAATTAGCATGCCCACCTTGTCTTCCCACATTGGCTTCGATCCCCTTGGTCACTGTCTCAGTGCTCGCCTGGGGAGGGAAAGTCACAGCATCAGTCAAAGAAAAGAACCCGGCTTCCTCTGGGAGCTCTGGGATGGTCCTACGAACTTCTGTCTCTGTAGAGCTGAGCATTTGCACAGTCTGGTGGCGCCCTCTGTGCAAAGCACACACAGCAATGCACGGCAACATCAAAATCCTCAAAAGCCTACCAGCCTGCCACTAATCACTGGATAATTTAGGGCCACATTTGATCAGTCATGGAATTGGCTTTGCAGGAACCGAAGCCCCATGTTGATTGTCAACCCTGGTCAGGCATGACGCAATTGAAGTCCTCATGCCTCACAACTTCCACTTCTTCCACCGAAAGCTGCATTTTCACGGTTCGATGGCTCCATCATGCGTTTACCCAAGGCAAGCATGGCACGAAGCAGGAAACGGCTGTCCATAAACCTCGAAAAGAAAGAGATACAGTAATGTCGTCGCCATGCGATAGAGGGGGGCATGGTCCAGCGTTCTTTCAGAGTATAACAAATCCAGCAACGTGATTGACGCAAGTCTTGTATCATATGTTACCCCACGCACACAAGCACCGCAAATCATGAAGTGCAAGCAAAGCTGCTGCTCATTTCTCAAATCCTTTAACTTTCGTCCTTCTCCGCCCCTGAACGACATCCCTTGATGACCTCCATAGGACTTTCAATTCATCTCACCATGTCCAACCCATCTTGGTTTTGAGGAGTCACTGCTAGCTGTGCCAGTGATACCTGCGGCGGAAATGGCGTCGTCTCCCAAGACGCGTCCACATCCAGCAGGTCCTCATTTGCATCTCCTGCCACTTCAACTTCGGGAAAGGGTTGATGTTTTTGGTGACCCCTGGCCGTTATGGACGGCATGGCATCCACTAGCCCATCGACAAGACGAGCACTTTAGTCACTTGAGTTGAAGTATTATTTCAAAGTAAAGCCCTAACACGTTTGGGGTCAACACTTGATATCCGTTCATGAGGGGAAGGAGAAGCAACAGCATGCAATGCAAGAGTTGCCATAGGTTGCATTGAACTGTACAAGTCAAACACGGGAAGAGATTCCCACAGGTCCAGCATCATCATCGTCGTCAGCTGCCAGTTCCGCGATCTGAGCATCTCTGCTGATGGCCAGGGCCTAGACTCTAGACCAATCGGTGATTATGGGAAATGAGGGGTGCAGCAGATAGGCTGATAGGCGGGATAGTACGAACATGTAAGAACTGACCTGGTGAGTCGTTGATCTGCTTGATCTACAAACATCTATCGTGGTTGGGGACCGATTTCTCGGCTGCTGGAGACACATCTTGCCACTGTAGGTTCCCTGAACGCTGACTGGCCGATTTCAAGATGCTCACTGATTAACCAGTGACGGGGGCACTAAAACCTTGTGATTTGCATCAAGTGATGCTAAAAAGCCGCCGACCCATGTTGAGCTATGCAGTCACAGCGGATGACAGGTCTACCGCCTCCCCACCTGACCCAGCGTCAGCCATGCGAGCAGAAGCTTCTTCATTGCTGGCCCTTTTTGGCCTTGAGCCAATGGGCCTGGGCATTCCTCCCGTGTTCTGTGACGAGCAATCGGAAAGGGCCACGCATCCTTCCATGGGATCTCTTGATTGAGCTTGTGTTCAATGTGTTCAATGTGTTATAATGTGTTCGCACAAGTCGATCAGTAGGTATTCCGTATTCCAGTTGATTTCCAGTAGCCCGGAAGTGGAACCAGAACATGGGAGCCCTTTCAGCGCCGGAACGGCGCACAAAACCGCCTGGCTCAGCGCCAATCAGCTCAGCACACTGCCTGCGTCAATGGCGGCCGTAGCGGAGACACCAGAGACGTTGACCGAAACCGGGCAACCGCGGATGTTTAAATAGTGTAGTCTCTTACTTTGTCGAAAAACATCTAAAAACCCATATGAAAAGGTTGTTCAATCCAAATCCAAATCGGGCAGTTTTATAATGTATAATATATAACTATGTATAACTAAACATAGTTATTTAATGATGAATTTACCTTCGGAACGTGGACTTCCAAGATTCTATCTGGAATAGGTGGTGCGTCCATCATTCTACAACCCTTGTTGACAACACACAGCCCTCAATTGTATACTGGAGATCCTCCCCCAACCTCCGAAGGTTTGTTCGTTCATGATCATGTGTCAAGGGAGAGGTTGACCCCAGCAAGCGACAACATAGGCCCTGACAATAAGACCCTGAAAGAAACTCGAGGTTTTGTGGTTCGATATTAGTCAAACACCGCATGTGAGGTTCCACGACTTGCTTCTGCACCCGGTTTGGTGGTAAAGACGAACACTTTGCCACCCCTCGTTTCAATAAAAGGTTCTATACACCTAGTTACTGGCACTAGAACTTCTTGCTAGACACAAGTCACCAAGAGTTTTGAGAAAGTATGTCAGTGTACAATGCCCTCACGATGTCTTCCAAATTCTCTGCGAGCGCACGCGACAACACACGCGGGGGTGACAAAAAATCTGACTGGCCTAACAGCTGTCTACACAAAAAAAAAGTAATTAGAAAAACGTGGGCATGCTGGACTACGATCCTCCTATCCATCAAATTCCCAAGAAGTAATTTCAGTGTCATTTCGCCGTGCTTAATTTGCTCCACGTTGAGGAGGTGATTGCCAAAGTTTACATCATCAGTTTACATCTTGACAACTAGCGTGACATGTTAAACAAAACTACCCAAAGCAATTAAACCAAAGATTCTGCAACTGTGTTTTGTCTCAGCTCAGTCATGTCTTTGTCTCATCTCAGATTCTGAGATTTAGAGAGCTTCAGGTTTTCTGGTATGGTTTGGTTCAGTTATAAGGCTGTTCTACACCAAACCGAGTGTGGTGTAGCGCGCCCTTCGGTCCCAACCACACTAAAAAAGCCTCCGTGCGGTTTCGATGGCCTTCTTGGCCTGTGCGGGGCCGACCTGAGACCTCGGCCTCTGGTGACTCACAACGCCGGTTTCGGGACTATAACGAAGGGACTGCAGTTGTAGGAAAGTGGTGCAGGGGAGACTCGAAAGGAGGCAAGACGATCGTCCACCGGGCCGATCCATCGATCCATGCAGAAAAAAACAAACATTGAGCGATCGTCTCCTATAATAATAAGATATAATAAGCCAACGACGGTTCCAACGACCGGCAGCAGGAATCCCTAAAGGCTCCCACACCCCGTCTTTGATTGGACCGGACCCGTGAAATTAAACTGATCAACTGTGGGGGCTTGAACTACTCCAAAACCGGCAAAACCTACTAGGAGCAAGGACGCTACTAGGAACAAAGGGCATCGCTACTAGGAGCAAGGATGCTACTAGGGTTAGTTCTTGAAAAGAAGGCTCAGCCGCTCCCTGTATCCGACGACGACAGATGTTCTTGCCATGTTCTGCCGACGAAAAAAGATGCACCTGCACGCCGTAGTAGTGCGAGGACGAAGGGTTGCCCCAATGCTGGCTCCTCAGTCACGAAGCTCCAAAGAAGCCTAGCTCAGTCGCTTGAGATCAACAACCCTTGAGTTCAGAAAACACAGGAAACCGTTTCCGTACCTCACCTCCGAAAGAAGCAAGAACTTGACAATAGGCCCCTGCATCATGGAAATGAGTGTGTCCATGATTGAAGGCTTCTATGTCTATGTAATATGATTCCCCTTGATTGTAACTTTTTCTGCTGCAAGTTGTATAGTTCACAAAAAGATCGGTGTCTATAAAAATGAACTATAAGGTTTTGTGTTATAAAATGACGAACCCGCACATATAGCATGACCGGGTCAGGATCCTACAATATGTGGCGTGATTGAATGGCACATATTTTCATAAAATGAAAACACCAAAGGACCAAGGGATGAGAAAAATGTACTTAATATATATATATATGTGTGTGTATATATATTGTATTATATATACAGATCTGATCAAGAAACCCGTATTGTCTATAAACGGAAGTGCTCAGGATTGGCCCGCGCTCAGATTCAAACGCTCAGATTCAGAGTCGAATCTTACCCTATTGCACGGCAGAATGCACATCTTCATTGTGTGTGGTGAGCGTGTCTAGCATAAATTGTTGTATCATGTAAGCTGCCAAACTATTTTTAACAAAATGAGCTTATCATAGCTTATGAGTGCATTCCTCAATTCAGTTGATTCTCTATAAATTGGCCTATCCAAGATCAGCCTTGAATTCTGCTCAGGCGCAAAGTCTTTTGTCCGCCAGATGTTTTTGCAATTTGATGTGGTCAGCATTGAGCGGCTAGATCTGACTAACATATTTGTTCAATATAGATTGAACATGCCATAGTTATGCTGAATTATCATCTGAAAATCCCAAAATACGGCCTTGTAACATGACCACCCTGTTTGGTGAGCTCACAAATGCAAAACATACTCATTTCATAAGGCTAGAATCAAGGGGATGTAATATGTTAGGTTCTGACAGCTTTTTGAGGTTGACAACCAGCTTTGGACATCCAAACATGGACGGCAAAATGTGATGGAATGTGTCGGACAGTGCAGGCTATTGACCAGAACAAATTATGATCCCACGACTGGCATTATCTCATCTTGGCTCAAGTTCCCGGCATCATCAGCGACATGGCGCGACATACTTCAGGGTCAATGGGTGTCGTGCCTCAGTCAAAGGAGGATGCTTCCATGAACAAACAGCTCCAAACGGCATTCTGGTTCCAACTCCCCGGGCCCCTAAGTGAGTGGCCGTAGATGTGCAGGCGGGCTGACTCTGACAACAAAGATTCACAAAAAATAGGATGAGATAGGATATCTACCTCATGTTCAAGCGTGATCACATCCAGGATCCCCAGCCATTGTAGTCTAAATAAATCGGCGCCTTCCCCGACCTCGTTGCAGGACTTTTTCACAATTGCTCCGTTTCAACGGTACAAAACCGTAAGCCTTTGATCCAAGTCCGCGGCGGTGCCATGGTCAAGGACGGGATGTTCGCTCTGTCTGCAAAAAACTCTGATTATATAGACCCCCAAATAGATACTGTAGAAGGGTAGATCCCCACTAAAAATGTATTGGAAACCGTTTGTATCTAAGTCTATATCTCTAAATCACTATAAAGTCCACTCAAGGCGTGGGAAAAAGAAGAGTAAAGAGTGGTGCTTGCGCTGTGATTTCGGAAAGGACTTGTGACTGACCCATGCACCCATATACCCCAAGTTCTGTGCTGTGTTTGATGCAGGTCTTGCTTTTAATCTTGGTCTGTGTAACAGGCGCAAAGTCGAAGGGCCCACAGTAGCCAGCCAGCATAAGAATCCTGCAGAAGTCAAGTGCGTCATGGCAGCCATAGTAGCAGCAAAAGACGTCATCTGTGAGCCCAAACCAGCACATTCCACCTGGAGTTGTGCGCGCATATCCACGCACAAACACTGCCACTTGCAACGAACACAAGCCAAAAAGCACATCCTTCTGGGCAATTCTCATTGACAGTCAAACCACACTGCAAATGGCCAACAACGCTGCAGTGAACACTGGCGTAAAAACAGGCTTGCGTCTCTCAACCTACGGACTTCCCAATAGGTTTACATCTGCTTTCAACCATCAAATAGTACACGAACAATCTGAATCTTTTTGGCGCATCATCGCTGGTCAGCCATTCACAGCTCCTTCTTCGATCCCTGGCAAGGTCAACATTCACGGTCGGGTCAGCCGTCTTCCAGATCAATCCACAAAATATGACTGGTTGGTGTTTTCAGCCCACTTGAAAAATTTAGTCAAAGGGTCCAATCATGCCCAAGTAAGGGTTGAAAATCAAATATGTATCCGAAACCATCACCTAGATGAGTTCTTGACGGTAAATGGCGCGGTTGGTCAGCTATAAATACGGATCCTCGACTAGCAGCTTCGCAGACTGACTAGGACCGAGAAGCAGCAAACAAACTGACCCATCTACAAGCGGGTCATTGAACTGCAGCTGACTGCAGCTGAGATCGGCTGAGCCTTGCCCTTCTTCTTTGGGGCTGGCTTCGAAGCTGGCTTCGAACCTGGGCAGCAAGCGACTTTGTGTCCGCACGTGTAGGCGGCTGCTTCTGGCTCCTTGACGTGAATCTGAGTATAGCAGTAGAAACATCTATTCCAACAATGTTCGACAGGACATGTCTTGAGCACTTCAGTGATTACTTCACTTCAGGTGGTGGTTATCAGGTCCATTCAGGTCTTGTCTGTGGACATGTCAGGAGATTCGTTTGGGCTCAGCCTCTGTGCCCCATGCAGGTGGCTTCTTAGCGGGTAAAAGCCACCAGAAAACAAGAGTTTGCTGCAAAAGTTCATACCTAACCTCACAATGGAAAAAATACCGTTATATACATAAAAACATCCACATCACCCGGATCAACCAGAGCAAGTAGGGCCCAGTAGGGCCCAGTCCAACTTAATACAACCCAGCTCACCTGGGTCATGGCATGTTCATCGACTGTTCATGACCTGCCCACCCTGAGATCCCAGCTGGTCTCGCTGGCCTCAGCATTGGGAGGTCATGGGGGTTCCGAGAGCATTCCATGGCGATAATATGCTATAATGGCCAAGT